AGGAGAAGAAGAGTGATATTGCCTTACTAGTTTGAAACACACTCAGTTTCACACAGCTTCACATCAGAAGAAGGAAGGAGGAAAAGCGAGAGGAAGAAAGAGAAGGATAAGGAGAAGGAGGAGAAGAAGAATAAGGAGGACAATGAAAAGGAAAAAGAGAAAAAGGAGGAGGATAAGAATAAAGGAGGGGAAGAAGAAGAGTAATATTGCCTTCCCGGTCTGAAACACAATCAGCTTCACATCAAAATTCAAGATGATTGACAAAGCCCTCTGAATCTCTCTTCATGGATGAAAAAGACTTTCTCTAATGCAAACTACTTCATTTTCCATCTTTTTTCTTCCTTTAGAAAATTTTCATCAGCTACCATCTTATTGGGCACCTTTTCTACCGTGTATTTATTCTGTAAAAGCATAGTGTTTTTACGACTATGTAAAAATCCATCCAACATTCTCCCAAATCCTCCTTAGTCCTTCCTATAATTCCGTCCTTTCTTCTTCCATCGTTCATCAACCATTGCAGCATAACACTTCAGAAAAAACATTCTTTAACCGTTGAATATTCGATTGGTTGAAACAATATCAAAAAAGACGAACTCTATTCCATTATGTGTTACGAATCACGATGGATATAGTCCGTTCAAACTCAACATAAAATCTCTCATGTTCTATCAAAAACTCCTTCATAATATGTTTATCAACATAACACTTGATGTTAGGGCTCATATGTAAGTTGTTGGCAGTTTAGCAATTTACCCTCCAACTAGTTTGAGTGTCATGTCCTCTCAATGGCTTGCATGCCCTAGTGTTGAGGGACAAGAGGAAGAGTGGGGCATCTTAACTTCAAGGGGAGTTCAAATTTGTGGCCTTTCATAAAGCTCAGCAACTGGAAGGGAATATTATGTTATCTTGTAGTCAAGAGTCATCACCTCCGAGCAAATTGACGGGTCCTAGGGCATTTTGGGCTTATGAATCTTTGTAGAATCGTTAGAGCAAGCCTATAAGTTCGGTTTCAAACCAAAGAAATACGCAGCTCCTAATGTGATTTCCCATTGTAAGTTCGTCCTCCTACTTCTACTCATTTTTCTTCTACTCTTTCTTCTTATTCCTCTCCTTTACCTTCTACTTCTTCTACTCCACTTTCTTCTTATTCCTATCATTTTCCTTCTTTCGATCCACCTATGTATCCCATGACAAAAGAGTACTTTGAAATAATGACTCGGTGTTAGTTTTTTTTATCGTTGTCACACGTAGTAGCAATGTGGAAGTGATTGTCCACATTTTCTGTTTGCTTTATAATTTTTTTTCTTTCCTAAATTGTTGGCATGCTCGCTGTCTAATAAATTTAATACAACTATTATTCGCTATTGTTGATTTAAGTCATCTCATCACTTTTCACATCTCATTCTTAGTTTCTTTTGTTTTTTACAAAGATTGTATCTCAATAAATATGTATCACAACAACAATTCAAATTTTGCATATAGGAACCAAAAATAATGTATTTTATGTATTGTCTTGATATGCATAAAGTGCGGAATCCTATGTCTGTGCAATGTAACTTGCAAGAATTTCAGTTGATTTCAAGGTACTTAAAAATTGGTTATTGTTATTTGTTTGTTTTATGCTTTATTTCAATATAATTCTCTAGAAGTTGTTGGTATTGCATTCACATCTTGTTGGCACTTTTAGTATATTGATATATCGATGCTTCTTATTTATCTTTTTCTCTTTTGATATTGTAGTGACAATATATCTCATGGTGTTCAAAATTCTTATTCATCTACTCTAAAGGTATGCCCATGGCAAAACAATAATTTGATATATTAACTTATTACAATATTTTTCTGTCACAGTTATAAGTAGCAGCAGTGCAGAATTATTTGTTTCCTTTTTTGTTTTTTTTATGATTTTCTTTCTTTCCTAACTTGTTGGCATTGGTTGTTGTTTATTGAATTCATGCAGTTATTGTTAGTTGTTGTTACTCTCTATATCTCTCATTGTTATTATTTTTAGCTATTTATAAAATGGTATCTCGATAAATATATATCATCACTCTCCTGATTTTGCATATGGGAGCGAATGACGGTGCATATAGCAAGCTTGTTTTTATATTTATGTGTTTTGACTTTATATGCATAAAATGTAGAGTCCTATGCCGGTGTAATACAACTTGTTGGAATTTTGGTTGATGTCGAAATAAGTAAAAGCTTATTATTGTTATTTGCATATTGTATGTTATATTTCCATATAATTCTCAAGAAATTGTTGGATTTGCTTTCATATTTTTTTAGCTCTTTTAGTGTGTTGATATAGAGTACTTCTTATATATCTTTTTTACTTTTCCTAATGTATTGATAATCTATCTCACCCTAGTTTTGCATATAAGAACTAATGATATTTGTGTTTTTTCTTGATATATACATAAAGGGTAGAGTCATATGCTACTACATACAAGTTTGCTAGAATTTTGGTTGATATCGAAGTAAGTAAAAGTTGATTATTGTTAGTAAGTAAAAGTTGATTATTGTTACTTTGTTTATTTTATTATTTCGATATAATTCTTACATTGTTGATATTGCATTCACATCTTGTTGGCTATTTTAGTAATAGTTATATACTAGTATTTCTTATTCACATAATTCTTTTTTCCTATTGTATTGACAATCTATCGCATGCTCTTTAAAATTTTTACCCAGTTATTCTAATGTTATGTTTATGAAAAAAAAAATTGTTTATAATAATTGAGATATTTTTCTTTGTTGCTGTTAAAAGTAACAGTAGTTTGGAATTAATTACTGTCTTTTTTATTTCTTTTATGATTTACTTTATTTTTTAATATGCAGGCAATGCTATGTCCAACTGCATCAACCGTATTATCTACACTAACACTTGAAGCTCCAAATTCCTCAGTGAAATAGCGAAAAAGGACATTAGAAAATAAGTAATCTTCTTTGTAGTAGGTAGAAAATCAGTAATTCATACCTTGAGAAATAATACTCTACTCCTATCAATTGTTGAGCATACAAAAATCAAAATATTATCATGATCAAATAAAATCCTAATTTATTGCATCAAAAGATCAACATTCCTACAAAAACAAAACCAAGAAACTAATTACCACCAATTCAAACTATAAGAGTAAGGCATACCATCACAACATGTTTATTTAGTATGTCGTCGTTGTATGACCATCAACGGACATCTTTTGTATGTCATTGCTTGACAACCTTGGCTTGTTCACATTGAAATCTGTTTGTGGACAATTTGGGGGGGGGGGGGGGGAAGAGGGCCATCTTCACCTCCATGGCGACCACCATTTCTTGCATCTCTTAAAATTAAATTGTTTATAGGAGTCCAACTGCATCAACCGTATTATCTACACCGACACTTGAAGCTCCAAATTCCTCATTGCCAACACTTCAGGTATGGTTAGCTTACATATCAAATTATGATAGCTGGTGTACATTGTGTTTTTGTTTTCAGCTTTAACTTACAGGAATAGTCAAGTTAGTCTTTGACGGGCATGATTGCGAGGCTTTGGCCTAACTATGCCATTGAAGGTAACAACTTTGGTTCACTTTCACCACGAAGAAATCAACTTTCGTGCTTTTGTGTTGAGCATGGTTGGAAGCAGGTAAAAACGAACGACTGTTGACTTTTTTGCGCCTATGTAGGTAGGTTTGGATTTTTTGTCTTCGTTTCCTTTTTACTTTCTATTTTTTTGTTCTACAAGTTTGATGTAATTTAGTAATCTTCTAATTGGTAGGTTTTTTAATTGACAATTTTTTAATGTTATTGAGTGCCTTTAGGTACACGCTTTAGCTAGTTAAACTATATTCATTTTCAAATCTCGTTGTCTCTTAAGTATCTCCATCGAAATCATCTCGAGTCCATTCCACCGCAACGTCAACATTATTTTCGTAACTCCCTCATAAAGCATAATCATCTAACCCTTGCATCATCTCCTTTCTCCATTTCAAGCCTTCCTTTGAGCACTCCTCACTGCTTCTTTTTAATCGTCTTTGTCTTTGTTCCTCATAATAATTGCAGACAGATTAGCCCTAACAATACCTTCTCCTTGGTTGATGAAGAAGACGGTAAAAGCATAGGCCGAACAGGCCCCAAAGCCCTCCGAAAATCAATTCCCTTTTGGGAAGAAATGGGCCAAGCCTAGATGGTCCACCCACCTTTAAGTCTCCATAATAATAATGGGCCCCATCCAAAGGATTTTTGGTACCACTACCCCCAAAAACTCTCAGCCTTTCTTCCTTCATGGTTCATCTTTCTCAAACCTAAGGAAACTAGACTTTGGCTTATGAACACTGATATGCAGCCTGGATGGCCCATCCACCTTTAAGTCTCCATAATAATAATGGGCCCCATCCAAAGAATTTTTGGTACCATTACCCCCAAACACACTCGGCCTTTCTTAACGGCTCATCTTTCCCAAACATAAAAAAACCCTAATTTGAATCTGGTAGATTTTTCTATTAAACTCAACATCCAACGATATCGTAAGGAAACTACACTTCGGCTTATGAAAACGGATACGCGCCTAAAAAAAATTCTCACGATTCATTGTTTGACAGTCAATTTTGATGACCACACAATTTTCCAATACATTTCCCGGTGCCATAAGTGAAACGGTAGCCCCTCCACAGCAATCCCCCCTCCTAGAAAAGATGCTTTGCTGCGAAACTTGTTGGAATCAGGACATCATTCTTGCAACTTCACCATTATTGATCCCTCCAAAGTATACTTTCAATTTCATCAACCTGTTTTCAATCTTGGCAGAAGAATATTGCCTTATCAGTCTGAAACACATTCAACTTCACATCAAAATTCAAGACGATTGACAAAGCTCTTTGAATCTCTCTCCATGGATGAAAAAGACTTTCTTTAATGTATATTAGTGCACTTTTCCATCTGTTTTCTTCTTTTTGGAATTTTTCATTAGCCACCATCTTATTGGAAGCCTTTTCTACAGGCCCATCTCCCTTCACTACTCCCTTACTTTTATTCTATAAAAACAGAGCATTTTTTTGACTATGTAAAAATCCATCCAACATTCTCCCAAATCCTCCCCAGTCCTTTCTATCATCCTCTTCATGAACAATAAAGCCCTTTCTCCTTCCATCGTTATCAACTTGGAGATTCTAACAAATTTTCCAAATAGACTATCCTCCACTTCAACGTAAACACAACTCCTTCTCTCCTCCCAATTTCCACTCTTACCATTCCAACACAAGACTTCAGAAAAAACAATCGTTAACATTTGAATATTCGATTGGTTGAAACAACAGTAGAATTCAACTAGTTTGGGTGTCATGTCCTCTCAACGGCCTGCACGCCCCTGTGTTGAGGGACAAGAGGAGTGGGGAAACTTAATTCCAAAAGGGGTTTAAATTTGTCGCCTTTCATAAAGTTCAACAATGAAAGGGGATATTACATTATCTTCCTGTCAAGAGGCATCACCTTTGAGCAACACTTAGGGCTTATGAGTCTTCGTTGAATACTTGAATCATCAGAGCAAGTCTGTAAGTTCACTCAGACCCAAAATATACGCAGTTCCTAATGTGATCTCCCATAACACAATTTTTCTTTTCTCCCTCTCTAAATCTCTCTCTCTATATAAGTACATATTTTTATATATGCCTTTATACACACTATAAATTTTTGGTTCTATAGAATCTTTGTTTTTCTTCTCTGTGATTCTGTTTTAGTTTCCTTTTCTTGCAAGTGGCCAATGATCCTTAGAGTCACCATAAATTTTAATCTTTCGAGTGACTTATATGCTCTCCTTCACCCGCTTCTCCTCCTCTTCTTTCTCCTTCTCCTTCCTTCTATTTCTTCTCTTTTCCTCTTGCTCTTCCTCCTTCTTCTTCTTTTTCTTCATTCTTCTCCTCCTCCATCCTTTTTCCTACCGATTTTCCTCTTTTTCCATCTCTCTCTTTTTGCTCTCCTGCTCCATCTCTCTCTTTTTTGCTCTCCAGCTCCTCTCTCATTCTTTTTATTCTTCCTCCTCTTCTATTTTTCCTTCTCCTTCATCTTCTGCATCTTTTCCTCCTTCCTCTATCTTTTGTATCTTTTCCTCTTCTATTTCTCCTTTCTCCTTCATCTTCTGCATCTCTTCCTCCTTCCCCGGCTTTTCCTCTCACTTCTCATCCTCCTTTTTCTCCTTCTCCTCTTGCTACGTCTCCTCCTCCTTGTTCTAGTTCCTATTCTTCTTCATTTTTCTCCTCTTTATCCTTCTCCTCCTCCCAAGGAATGTTAACTTTAAGGGGAGTTCAAATTTGTGGTCTTTCATATAGTCAACAACTAGAAGGGGCTATTAAGTTATCTTCGGTCAACTAGAAGGGACTATCACCTCTGAGCAAATTGATGGGTGTTGATCTTTCGAGCGATTTTTCTTCTCTCCTCCTTCACATGTTTTTCCTCTCCTTCCTTTCCTCATCCTTCTCTTTCTCGTCTCTCCTTGTCGCTTTCTCACCTCCCTCATTTTTTCTGTCGATTTTTCTCTTTCTCCTTCTTCTCTCCTTTTCTTTTTCCTTCTCCCTCGTTCTTCTTCCTCCTCTTCTATTTCTCCTTCCTCCATCTTCTGCATCTCTTCCTCCTCCTCCCCCGGCTTTTCCTCTCACTTTTCATCCTCCTCCTCCTTCTCTTGTTACTCCTTCTTGTTCTTGTTCTTCTTCAGTCTCCTCCTTATCCTTCTTTTTTTCCTCCTTTTTTCCAGCTGATTTCTCTCTTTCTCCTTCTCTCCCCGTTCTCCTGCTCCTTCTCCGCCTTCATTCTTCTTTTTTTTCTCTTCTTCCTCCTCTTCTATTTCTCCTTTTCCTTCATCTTCTACATTTCTTCCTCCTTCTTCACTTGTTTTTCCTCTTGCTTCTCCTTCTCTTTCTTCTTGTTGGAGTTATAGAAGCCTTGGTTATTAGGGTTTATTAAAATGTTTTCTTTTTTTACCTTTTTATCTTTATTGTGACTTTTATTGGCTATATATATGGGGGCTCTACACTTAGTTTGTATCCCTTTCACTCACATCAGAGCCACCAACCCTAACTCTAAGTCTAACCCTAGCCTCCGCCAAACAAGCAACACAACGAAACCACCCGGCCATCAACAAGCAACACCAAACCAGTCTCCACCGGCGAGCACCCAGTGACAAACCCACTGCCCACAGACATCCTCCACCAACACAGCTTCCACAAACAACCCAACTAGTTCCACCGACAAACCACCAGCGATAAACCAAGAATCAAACTACCCAGAACCCAACCCAGCGACAGCCTAGCCAACATCAGCAGCAACCCACAAACAACACTAAATCAGCCTGCCACCAGATCACCGACAGCCACAAACCACCTAAACTAAACCAAGAATCAAACCACCCAGAACCCAACCCACCGACAGCCTAGCCAACATCAGCAGCAACCCACAAACAACACAAAATCAGCCTGCCACCAGACCACCGACAGCCAAAAACCACCTAAACCAACTACACCATATAAACCACCAACCAACATAAACCACCGACAGCCCAATAAACCAACTCCATCAGCGAGACAGCCCAATAAACCAACGAACCCAGCAAAATCAGTAACCCAACACAACTCAAAAAACCTAGGCTGCTATAACTCCAACACTTCTGCTCATCCTCTTTCACTCTTATCCTCCTCCATTTTCTCCTATCCTTATCCTTCTCCTCCAACTCCTAGGGAATGCTAGCTGTAAGGGGAGTTCAAATTTGTGGCCTTTCATAAAACTCAGCAACTAGAAGGGGCTATTACGTTATCTTCCAATCAGGAGGCATCTCCTCTGAGCAAATTGACGAGTCTTGATCTTTCAAGTGACTTCTCTTCTCTCTAACTTTTCCTCTTGCTTTTCTTCCTTCTCCCTCTCCTTCTCCTCTTGCCAATCCTCCTTCCTCAATCTATTTCTCTTCCCTTCTTTTTCCAATCGATTTTCCTCTTGCTCCTTCTTCTCATATCCTTTTCCTTCTCCTCCCTCATTCGTCTTCTTCCTCCTCTTCTAGTTCTTCTTCTGCCTCTCTTCCTCCTTTTTTCCCTGCATTTCCTCTTGCTTCTCATCCTCCTCCTCTTTCTCCCTCTCCCTCTCATTCCTTCTGTTTCTTCTCCTTCTCCTCTTGCTACTCCTCCTTATTCTTATTCTTGTTCTTCCTCATTCTTCTCCTTCTCCTCCTCATCCTTCTCTTTCTCCTCTCCTTCCTATTACTTTTTCTCCTCCCTTCTATTTCTAGCCGATTTGCCTTTTTATCCTTCTCTCCCTGCTCTCCAGTTTTCCCTCAATTCTTCTTTTTCTTCTTCTGTTTCCTCATTTTCTATTTCTCCTTCTCCTTCAGCTTCTACATCTCTTCCTCCTTCTTCCCTTACTTTTCTTCTTCTTTCTCCTCCTCCTCCTCCTCCTCCTCGTTTCTCTTCTTTTTCTCCTCCCCCTCCCCCTCTTTCTTTAGTCGTATCCTCCTCCTTTTTCTCCTTATGTTCTTCTCTTCCTAGGGAATGTTAGCTTTAAGGGGAGTTCAAATATATGGCCTTTCATAAAGCTCAGCAACTAAAAGGGGCTATTTACGTTACCTCCCAATCAAGAGGCATCACCTCCGAGCAAATTGATGGGTCTTGATCTTTCGAGTGACTTCTCTTCTCTCCTTCTCATTCTTCACCTACTTTTCCTCTTGCCACCGTTCCTCCTTCTTCAATCTTCTCCTCATCCTTTTCTTTCTCGTCTCTCTTTCTAGTCACTTTTCCTCTTTCTCCTTTTTCTCCTCTTTTTCCTTTTCCTCCCTCATTCTTCTTCTTCCTCCTCTTCTATTTCTCCTTCCTCCATCTTCTGCATCTCTTCATCCTTCTCCCCCTACTTTTCCTCTCTCACTTCTCATCCTCCTTCTCCTTCTACTTCTTGTTCTTGTTCTTCTTCAGTCTCCTCTTCCTCCTTCTCTCTTTCCTCTCTCTTTCTTCCTCGTCAACCTCTTGATTCCCCTTCTCCTCCCTTCTTCCTCCCAATTTTCCTCCTCTTTCTCCTCTCCTGCTCCTCCTTCTTCCTCCTCCAACTCCATCAATTTCCTCCTCCCTCCCAATTTTCCTCTTCTTTCCCCTCTCCTACTCCTCCTCCTCCTCCTCCTCCTCCTCTCCTCTCTTTTTCCTTATCCTCCTCCTGTTTCTTCTCATTTTTGTCGTCGTCGTCCTTCTTATCCTTTCTTCTTATTTCTCCTTCTCATTCTCATTCTCTTCCTTTCTTTTTTTTGCTTTTTGTCGTCGTCGTCCTTTTGTTTTTCCTCCCTCATCCTCCTGCTCCTCCACCAACGTCATCTTCTTCGTCCTCTCTTCTACGTAAATTTCGAGCAGTATTTAGACATAGAGGAGACAGTTTCTTCTTCTCCTCTTTCTTCTCCTCCCTTTTTTCCTCCTCCTTTTCCTTCTCCTTCTAATTGTCCTCCTTATTCTCCTCTCTCCTTCCTCTTGCTCTTCCTTTTCCTTCTCCTCCAACTCCTCCTTTCTTTTATGTAAATTCAAGCAGCATTTAGGCTTAGAGAAGACAACTTCTTCTTCTTCCTTCTCCCCTTCGTCCTTCTTCACCTTCTCCTCCCCTTTTTCCTCCTCATTGTCCTATTTATTCTCCTTTTCTTTCTCTTCCCTCCTTCCTCTTGTTTTTCCTCCCTCATTCCTCCTATTTCCCCTCTCCTACTCCTGCTTCTTCCTCCTCTAATTCCGTTAATTACCTCATTCCTCTCGATTTTCCTCCTCTTTTCCCTCTCATGCTCTTTCTCCTAGTCCTCCTATTTATTCTTCTCATTTTCATCCTCCTCCTCCTTATTCCTTCTCCTCTTTCTCGTTTTCCTCCTTTCTCTTTTTTGTCCTTTCTTCCTTTTGTTTTTCCTCCTCTTTTGCTTGTCCTCCCTCCTTCTATTTCTCCTTCTAATTTTCCTACTCCTTCTCTTTCCCTTCTCCTTCCTCATTCTACTTCTTCCTCCTCCTCCAACTCCATCATTTTCCTCTTTTTTCTTCCCGATTTTCCTCTGTCTCTTTCCCCTTTCCTACTCCTTTTTCTTTTTCTTCTTCCTTCTCTTCCTGCTGCTCCTCCTCTTCTTTCTCCTTCTGCTCCTCCTCTTTCACCTCCCACCTTCTTCCTCTTGCTTTTCCTCCATCCTTCTCCTTCTCCTCCCTCCTGTTCCCTTCTCCTACTCCAACTCCTCCCTTATTATGTAAATTTCGAGCAGCATTTAGGCTTAGAGAAGACAACTTCTTCCTTTTCCTCCTCGTCCTTCTTCACCTTCTCCTCCCTTTTTTCCTCCTCATTGTCCTCATTATTCTTCCTCTTGTTTTTCCTCCCTTATTCCTCCCAATTTTCCTCCTCCTATTTCCCCTCTCCCGCACCTTCTTCCTCCTCCAACTCTGTTAATTTCCTCCTTCTTCTCGATTTTCCTCCTCTTTTCCCTGTCCTGCTCCTGCTCTTTCTCCTTCTCCTTCTCCTTCTCCTTCTCCTCCTATTTATTCTTCTCATTTTCATCCTCCTCTTTCTCCTTCTCCTTCTCCTTCTCCTTCTTTCTTCTTTCTTCCTTTCTTTTCCTCCTCCTCCTCCTCGTTTTCCTTCCTTTTTGCTTGTACTCCCATCTCCTCCAATGTCATCTTCTTCCTCCTCTCTCCACCTCCAACTCCTCCCTACTTCTACTTAAATTTCGAGCAGCATTTAGGCATAGAGGGGACAACTTTCTCTTCTTCCTCCTCCTCCTCCTCCTTTTTTTCCGCCTCCTTCTCATTGTTCTCCTTATTCTCCTTCACCTCCTCTTTCTCCTCCCTCTTTCTTCCTCTTTTTCCTTCTTCCTCTGTGAACTCTTCCTTCTTCTCCTCCTCTTCCTCCAACTCCTCCCTTTTTCTACGTCAATTTCAAGCAGCATTTAGGTATAGAGGAGACAACATTTGAATGGTGGTAACTGAAAAAGACACAATTTTTTGCTCGAGAGAAATCGCAAGGCTTTCTACAAATTCTACTACAATGCCGATATTTGTAGATGTAGACATAACTCCTGTATGACCTCGAGAGCTTTGTCCACAGATGCAACAATAGAAACTAATGGAGTAGAAGTGGACAAAGCAGAGGCCTCTTGTGGTGTATGAACCTAGAATTGTTGCGGGTGAGCTCGTGGATGGTGATGCTTGCCAAGTATGGTAATCAAATAATTACTTACATCTATCTTCAATCCATATGGTTATTTTGATGAAAATAATAGGTTTAGGTATATAGTTATCTGAAAATATTGAATTTAATGAATTTCTTCCAATCTAGATTGGTAAATTCCTTGTTATTGGAAATTTGTCTTCCTGGCTTGTATTTGATAAATCATTATCATGCTTCTAGATGGCTGGTATTAAATAGTGTGTGTACTTTGCACGAGTTGGAATTGGTACATTAAGTAAATTTGCTACTTATTGAGGTATCATTTATGGAGGGACATAAACTTCGGTTAAGGCCTGTAAAGCAACTTCAAGATTTGGAAAGCAAGAATAGCAATTGTAATTCATCAAGCAAATGATGCTTATTGTAGATAGGACTTATTGTGTCATTATAGTTTTGTTTTCCTGTAAAGGATATGCTGATTGTCAGGTGCCTACCTTGAGAGAACTACAGGGACTCTATGATCAGCTGGTTGAGTCAGCTGATGCCTGCTGATTGGATTGGCATGCTACTTCCAAGAAAGCCGAGAGGTAATTCTTTTTCCTGACCACTATTTTCTGTCATCCTTTGATCGCTCTTTAACTCATTTTCAGGAGTAGGTGGTTGAGGTCCCGTTTCATGCTGCAATCTTCATACTCACCCGTGTGAAAGGACTTTATCTTTATGGAGGAGGGGGCATAGGAAAAACTATGTTGATGGACTTGTTCTTCGATCAATTGTAGATATTAGAATTAATTAATTCAATGGGTTTGCCCTCCACCTGGTGTGTTTAAGTTGAACACAGATGGGGCTTCAAAGAAGAATCCAGGTATTGCAGGAGGAGGTGTGGTGTTGAGAAATGAATAGGGGAAGGTAGTTTTAGCTGCCTCTTACTTATATGGTGTGTGTCCAAATACAGTTGCAGAGTTCAATGCTTTGTTAAATGGGCTGGAATTGGTTAAACAATATGGGCTTTTTGCTTATAAAATTCTGGTGGAATCTGATTCTTTAATGTTGGTTAATGCTGTGAGTGGTAGGCGTGGATGTCCATGGGTGTTGTGTCTATTTTGAGACAGATTAAGGTGCTTTTGTCTATGGTGGAGAGTATGAATTGAGGCATGCCTACAGAGAAGCTAACATGGAAGCTGATCGATTGGCTAATCAGGCAGTCTGTGCTAGAAGTTCTGTTGACTTTTCTGAGTCCTTGAATTTGCCTTCTGCTGTAAGCATGGCTGTGCTGCAGGATGTTAGGCAGATTCCTATTCTGAGACAGAAGAGGGTTTTGGTTTTTGATGACAAAGGGTGATGCTGTTTGCTGCTAAGAGCTAAGGTCGCTGGCTGCTGTGCTGGTTACCAGACTGCTTTTATGAGGGACTTTGCTTTTTTTGTCAAGCCTTTTGGCTTTTCTTTATGTTGAGGTTTTTGTTTTGTTAAAGCAGGGCTTGTCTGCTTTTCCCTCATTGTAAAGCTTGGTCTGTGTGGCTGTTTTGATTAGGCAGGGTCTGTCTGCCTTTTCCTTTTTGAGAAATGGAATAAAATGTTGGTTTGTTTAAAAAAAAAAAGAATTAATTAACTCAATATTGGCGCGAATATTGGGAAATCTATCTATGTCAAAATGTGGGAAACTTGCTGATGTATATAAAGCAGTCACCATTCACTATGTATTATCTCTAGTTTTCATTTCCCCAGGTCCTGCAACTGGAGGAAAAAGAGGATCCGTTTTTGGACTTCCTGTTGAATGTTCACTTCCGCTTAAAAACAAGTACGACCATTTTTTTATTTTTTGTAACTGCATTGCAATGTAAGTAAGCTTGTGACAAAATTATTGTAATTGGAAGGGTACTATTTCTGTTATTCGCAGTCCTTGAAAAAATTGCAGTATGTTGAAATCATACAGGCGTTTAAGTCTAGTTCCCTTTTGGACCATTATTATGCCGAGTTATGTAGCACTAGGTGATATATGCTAATCCTGAAGTAGAAATTTAACTTAAATTGTTAAATATTATGTTATTGCAAAAGCACAAGGGTGTGGTAGATCCCCTTGAAGTTATTGCAGGAGAGATATATCATGAATCAATTAACGTATCCGGTAACCGGGGTGTTACATTTTTTTCTTCTCTCGAGAAATCTTTGCTTCAAGGGTGTGGCCTTTCATGAAGCTTAGCAGCTGGTAAGGGATATTACGTTATCTTCTAGTCAAGAACCATCACCTCCGAGCAAATTGACGGGTCTTAGGGCACTTAGGGCTTATGAGTTTTCGTTGAATTGTCATAGCAAGCCTATACATTCATCTCAGACCCAAAAAATATGCAGTTCCTAATGTGAACTCCCATTGCACCATTTTTCCTTTCTCCTTCTCTCTAAATCTCTCTCTATGTAGGTATATATGGAATCAATGCTCTTTTTCTATGTGATTCTTTTTTAGTTTTTGTTCCTCGCGAGTCCCTGATGTTCCTTAGAGTCACCATAAATTTTAAACTTCGAGTGACTTCTCTTCTCTCCTTCTCCCTCTCCTCTTGCTCCTTATTCATTCTCCTCATCCTTCTCTTTCTCCTCTCTCCTTCGGGTCACTTTTCCTGCTCCTTTTCCCTATCTTCTTCTCTCCTACTCCTTCTCCTCTTTCTTTTACTTCTGCCTTTTGTTTTCTTCTTGACTTCTCTCCTCCTCTTTCTTCTTCTTTCTCCTTCTCATTTTTTCTCCTTATCCGCTCCTTCTCCTTTCTGTTCCTTCTTCTTCTTTTCCTTGTCCATCTACTTCTTCTCTTTCTCTAGCTCGTTCTCCTTCTCTTTCTACTAAAGCAAAGGAATGATAAATTGAAAATATCAAATGAAAACTTTGGTGTTATATTGGTGAAACTTATAATGATATCTCATGAATTTCAATTGATATCAAGGTAGTAAAAGGTAGTTTGTTACTTTTCTGTTTTATGCTATACGTTAATAAAAACTTTCAGTGGCTTCACACCCCAATCAGAGGAAATAGACATTGTATTTGCCGGCAATTGATATCGGTAACCTTTTTTTTCAAATTGCCAACATTAAAACTAAAAGTAAGTATTACAGCTTTTATTGTCAAATGAAATAGATTTATTTATGAAGATTTTTAACTGGTTCATTTTGCGACCTTGTAAATAAAACGTTGTCAATCGTATAGGGAGGTTGAGTTTGCCAAGTCCACAAAGATTCAAGCTAGTTATAGGCTTCCGGATTTACCACCCTAGTATCATCATATCTGATCCCAATGTCCTAGCTTCGTGTTATGCTGGGTCAGGTTTGGACGCAGTGTTAAGACTTACACCCAAAGGGAGAAGGGACGTTGTCCGAGGACTGGCTTTCCATGATTACAAAATTTCTCCCGTTTGTCAAAAATTTTCAGTTGCCTGATTATTATACGAACAAAAAATTCGCACAATCACTGAAATTTATTGAGGTGTGTCGCTAGTTTTGGAATATCATCCGGTCCATGAGCTACAAAGCCAACATGAGGTTAGAGGGACCCTCCGATACCTAAGTCAGTATTGTGATCAATAACCGAATAGACAAGTGTACAAAACTAGGAAAATGGTAAGAATGTGTGTGTGAGGTATGGAGTTGAGAGTTCTCATACCGGGCCTCTCAAACTTTGGGTCTTCAACCATTTTTATGGAGAAAATGGAGAGCTACTTACCGTTGAGAGGCCATGCTAGGATACGTTGACCACTAAACGGTGGTCCCTAGGTGAGATCGACCACCACGTCTAGTATGCAAAATCCTAGGGGCTTGCGTCGGTTAGCCTGGGTCGACATAACAGTAGTATAGGATTGTGCCGATCTTCATATTGATGGTGCTGACCAGTTCGAACTGATGCCGAGCATGTTTATTTGGTGATTGCTAGGAAGATGCCGCATTTCAAAATACTTCCCAAAGGATAGTGTCCGAGTGAATATAAAATGATCTAAGTGATTGGTGTGAATTTGCACTATTTGAGTCGTATAGTCGCCGAAGTGGAATTCCATGTCTCAACAGAATGGCCTTTGATGGTGCTCGTCATTGAAGGGTTCTTGAGGGGTCTGGGAATTGCTACAAGTGGAGCCAATCTTTGGTGATAAACCGATCACCCATTGGCCTTTGACAGATGGATTGAGCACCTTGGGATTGATAGGCCTACAAATCTTGGTGAGAGTCTTACCATCTTAGTGCCGAGCATATGGCACCAGAGTGCTAGACCGAGAATGTAATATCCCGTTCCAATTTGGTAAGGAACTAGTTAGAAATATTATCTTATAAGGAATAAGAAAAATTTTAAAGAAGAATTTAGAATAGTCTAGAATAATCTAGAATATTTGAGAAGTTTCTAGAAAAATTTAGAATAATCTAGAAGATTTTAGAAAGTTCAAGAATAACCTAGAATAATCTAGAACAATCTAGAGAAGTTTAGAATATTTTAGAAGGTTCTAGATGGATTTAGAATGTTCCAGAAGGACTTAGAAAGTTGAAGAAAACTTAGAATATTATAGATGAATCTAGATACTTGTGGAAAGTGGAATTGTCATGTGCAAAATAAGCTTAAAACTTAGAAGGATCTAGGAGATAGTAGAATATTCTAGGGAATCTCCCATAAGAATGTCACATGTCAATATTTTCTAGAATAATCCTAGGATGCCTATAAATAGGGCATTTGAAAATTGGATTAAGATACAAGTGCACAAGTAGTGTTATACTTTCAAGAAAGAATAGAGAGTAAAAGAGAGAAGAAGGAAGGAAGAGCACTTTATCAAAGGAAATTGTGAGAAAAAGGGAAAAGGCATCAATAATGTCTCACTCTACTTCGGGTAACAAGCAACACTCAAGAAGCATATCATCTGGACTTGAGGTGAGTGGATTGACATACTACGTATTTTTTTTCGTATCCCTAAACATTTTAAAAATAATACATAATGCTTGTTCATTACTATCTTTATAAAATGTTTTACTAAGTGCCTAAATACTTGTGGCATGCAATTCTCCTTATTTTGATGAATTCTTTTGTGAAATATTGTGACTCAATCACTTGTTTATATGGTGAGACTTTGTGATAGTGAATGAGATCATGATTGAAAGTTCAGGAAAATTATTCCTCTGTGTGCGGGTGACTCTGACCACTAGGTAACAGACCCGGGGAGGCTGAGGTGACTCTAGTGCTCAACAGTTGAAGGAACAGTGCCTGGTGCGTCCTGGTGACCTTCACCGGATCGCCTTAGGGAACAGTTCCCGGGCGACAACTCGTGGTGACCCTAAGTACGATGTTGGATTCAACCTGAGATATATTCTGGCATTTGGTACTAAAAGTCCAGAAAAATTATTTTTCTGTATGCGGGTGACCCTAGCCACTAGGGAATAGACCCGGGGGAGGCTGAGGTGACCCTACTACTCAACGGTTGAAGGAACAGTTTTTGGTGCGTCCTGGTGACTTTTATCGGATTGTCTTAGGGAACAGTTCTGGGGTGGCAACCTATGGTGACCCTAAGTATGGTGTTGGTTCCAACCTTGAGATCTTCTGGCATTTGGTATGGTTTTCAGATATTGTACAAGTCCTTACCAGTATGAGATGATGATATAATTTGTTACGGTCACAACCTTTTTACTGGCTTTGTTTATGATTATCTATCGTATGCCATACATATTTTCTCGTTATCAGTTATTGTATTTGGTATTTGGTTCCTATCGATTATTGGATATCGTACAGTCTCTACCATTATGATATGATTCACCATTGTGGTATGATTTCTTATTGGAATCCGATTGTGTTATTCTTGAGAAATTGATTATCTTGATGAAGTTATTTTTCCAAACCTTTGATTTACATGTCGTATGTCAAATATATTTTTCAGCCACTTTGAATATGCATGTCTTTCCATTCACTGGGCTTTTTAGCTCATGTTTTCAAAATAATATTTTTTTAGGTAAACGATTGGAGTGTCAATAGCGGACTCAGGGAATTGATTGGGGACTAATAGTGTTGTGACCTCCGTAGCATATATCGTATAGCCCTCTTTACTTGTATTTGGATAATTGGGGTAAACAGGTTTAGGTATGTTGACTTTAACATATTGACATGAGATCAATTTAGTGTTAATGTTATTTTCCACTACTATATTATTAGTTTATTGTTAGGCTTATGTGTTCCACAGGTTATGAATCTATGATTCACGGCTGGTCATGCCCTTGGAGTTGGGGTGTGACAGAGAAAGCAGTTAGTTGGCAGCAGTGAGAAACTTGATTTGTTTTAAGCAAGGATATGGTGATAGTTTTCTTTGCCCAAAGAGATCATCATAGAGCTTTGTTTTGGGGATGATAAGTGGTGGTGACAGCCACTTCCTCGATAATATGCAATTCACTATTGTACAGTGGAGAGTTTAATACTGAGGGGCATTGTGGATTCTTGAGCAAAAACTAGACCCTTCATGAGTTTAACTGGTCACGACCAGCAGTTGACATGTGAGAGTATGACCGTTGTGTAGATTTGCTGTTGAGGGGGTATGGAGGCGACAATGACAGCCACTTCTTCGATAATGCCATTCGCGTAGGGATTTACCCACCCTCGTAAGAATTAAGTGTACCTTGCAGTTGCGGCAGCCGATTGAGGCATTCAACAATGGGCACTGTTGGTGCTTGATAGGATACCCACATGAATAGTCGCTTGAGAGAGGCTGAGCCGTGGGCCAACCAACCACTGTGGTGATGATTCAACGACCATCCTCTAGGTGATGTAATAGCCTTTTCTTGGTGAGAGCGCGAAGACATTTGCAAGCTTTTGGATGATGAGGAGACCGAATGCCACCCCATGATCTACTTGTTTTTGGCGACCACCTTTAGGTTGCACCGACCGCGGAGAGGCAAAAACCAGTCGAGTTCAACAATTTAAAAAGTAAGTTCTGGAATACTGAAAAACCAAAGACAGATGCATGCTTCCAATAGGATACTTTGTCTCCTGTTAGGCATAACATGTGATATTGACCATCTTTAAGTATCGTAGTGCTTGTGTTTACATGCATCAGTACACATGGTGTAGCTGTTCTCAAGAGCAAACCATGGTAGCCATACTAGCCTTTGTCTACAGTGAAAGTTGTCTTAACAATTGAATGACGTATGGCTATGGGAAAGGAGAAATTGGGCAGCTCTTTATCGAAGGATTTGGATCTTCAATGTTGTTTGGCACCATTTTTGGATCTCTAGCTGACAAATGGTGAGATTTTCTTTTCTGATTTAGGTACCCACGTTGTTTTGTGACGAAATAGCTTATTCACATGTTTTTCTGATGGTTCATAACTTAAATTCAGGGGTCGGAAACGAGCATGCGTGACTTATTGCATTACTTACATATTAACCTGTATTACCAAGCATTCTCATCAGTACAAAGTTTTGATGTTGGGTCGTATTTTGGGTGGTATTGCCACTTCTCTCCTATTTTCAGCTTTTGAATCATGGCTTGTGGCTGAACACAACAAGGTAAAAGGCTCTTACTTGTATTAGTGACTGGTGACAGAGGAATCCATATTGAATTGATTACAGTTCATACTTGAATTTTGATGAACAGTATTATTGATCCTGATGCGTAACTGTGGTATTTTGTGTGAGCATGATTGCATCTGAGAATTGGATTCCCTAGGTGTGAACATAATCTGTAGTTTTTTTGCACAATGGGGGAACTTTCTTTCTAAAAGCCTATTTCTTGTTGGAGCCTTTTCTAGAACTTTGATGACGGATGGCATTGGTAAGCAATTTTTTCATCATCATAATGCTTCCAGAGTTTTGCTTAAATTTCTTGTATCTTGCAAACTCTTTAGATTAATCTTGTTGTCCTGATGTCTGCTGATTCATTGGGCTCTCTTTCTTGTAACCAGATTATAGTAGTCACATAAATTCTTCCAAGAAATAAGAAAAGAAAACTACTTAGTGAAACTGGATCTATATCCATAATTTTGACTCTAATAATTTTCAATTGCGCCCTAGTTGCCAGAAACACTGGCTACAGAAATCCAGAACTGGAATTGTTTGATCGTTCCGCCCTTGTTTATTTTGCTCCTATTTTGGATAGGATGCTCAAAAGATTGTGTCTAGGGATCCCCACTTGTCATCAAACTTTTCCCTTTCGTCATATTGTCATTTTGTTTTTCTTGTTCTTTTCTGCTGCCTTCCATTGATACTTGCTGACCTGGCGATGAAGGACTTGAACCGTCAAGCTGTGGTTCTTTCTTTGTCATCCGTTTTTGGATGTGTAAGTGTAAGCCAACTCTAGGCAACAACTAGTTTGTAGTTTGTCCATAGAAGTTACCTCATTTTCATTGTCATTGACCCTGTTTTCTGCCTATTTCTGCAGAGAGGATTTGATCAACAATGGCTCTCAATAACTTTCTCCCAATATTTCTCAGCAATGGTCTCGTTGCTATTGTGTCCGGGTTGTTCAGAAATCTGCTAGTTGATACCATGAGTCTTGGGCCTGTGTCCCCCTTTGACGCCACTGCATGCTTTCTTGCCATTGGCATGGCAGTTATACCATCATCGTGGGGTGAGAACTATGGTGACCCTTCAGAGAACAAGGACTTGCTTACCCAGTTCAACGGTGCTGCTGTGGCCATTGCTTCAGGTAGAGACCTATTTAAGATCTCAAATACTTTCACAGCCCATAAAATACTCCTGGAGTAGCCCTTGGGTACTGCATACAGTATAAAAGCAGTGATTAAGGACTTACCATTCAATGATTCTTCCCAGTGATTGGCTTCAGTTTTAATTTTGAAAGACAGAAATAAAGAACAGGCTACCTATATCTTATATCACCACTCCAGGATGCGACGTTCTTCTTGGGTTTTCACTGGTGTTCTTTTTAAATGGTGGTCAGATTTTTTTGTGCCTAAATGGTTTTTGGCTGCTTTCTCATTGTCAATCTATATATTTTGCTAAGTGTCCATTTTTTTATTCCTGTTCGTATTCCTTGTTGACCCTGTAGTATGGTTTATGTAGATCAGATGAGAAGATTGCATTGTTTGGTGCAATACAATCCCTCTTTGAAGGGTCAATGTACACCTTTGTGTTCCTCTGGACACCTGCTTTGAGCCCAAATGAGGAGGACATTCCCCACGGTTTTATATTTGCAACTTTTATGCTGGCTTCAATCCTGGGAAGCACTATTGTGTCTCGCTTGATGGCCCGCACATCATTAAGAGTTGAGAGCTATATGCAGATTGTTTTTGTGGTTTCTGCTGCCTCTCTTCGGCTTCCTATTGTGACTACTGTATGTAGTAGGTTGCATGTTTCCTTTTTTTCTCTCTTAAATTCTCTGGTTATGGCCATCTCTAATTTGCTTATTTGGAACAGTTTTTGGTAGCTCCTTCTAAGGTGGAAGGTGGAAGCATCTCATTTGCAGGTTGTATCCAGCTTATTGGCTTCTGTACCTTTGAGGCTTGTGTGGGTATATTCTGGCCTTCCATTATGAAGATGAGGTCGCAATACATTCCTGAGGAGGCGAGGACGAGGAGCACCATTATGAACTTTTTCCGCATTCCTCTCAACATCTTTGTTTGCATCGTTCTTTACAATGTATGTCTTTGGACTTTCTATCCTTTGTTGCTCCACCTTAAGACTGCACTCTGCTCATAGAAATAGAATTGTGCTGTAAATTTTGCTTTCTTTGGCTGGAACATAGTTACTGTGGCAAAAAAATTTTTGGCCTGTATTAGAGAATATTGACCCTCCTCCTTCTCTATACTGCACACAATGCCTTCTTTTGCTTTTACTTTTTATCATGCACCATCAGGTCCTTTTTATGTTACTAATTTTCTGTATGTATATGAAGGTTAATGCGTTCCCTATCACTGTAATGTTCGGGATGTGCTCGATTTTCCTCTTTGTTGCATCTATCTTGCAGAGGCGGCTATTGATGATAGCAGAGAAGTCAAGTTAGTAGTTCTGCACTAGAACTCTTGAGTTTTCAAATCATGATTCATTATTGTACTATTTTTGTTTCATGCTTATGTAGTACCAATTTTGTAGCAGAAATAAAATGACTAGTAAATATAGTGTATTATTAGTCCATGCATGAAGCTTTTCTAGGTGCTAAATATTGCAACATGTGTTTTCACTACAGAGACAGAAGATTGGACAGCATTAAAGGAAAAGGACAACGAGGCTGAGCCATTGAACGATGCTTGATTCCAAAATTGAAAAACACCGCCTAATTCATTCCACAAACTGTCACAAGATTTGGCTTACTTGATGCTACGTTCTATTCAAATGGTGATGGTCACATTTTATTTAAACTACAATTAGTGGTCTGCAGGCAAGGAAAGGAGAGGTACGGGACCGTGCCTTAAAGCGAACCGAGTCACATTAGTCTCAGTTCGGCGTCTGCATCTCTTACTGTTGGGATATTCTATATTTTGTTATGTATAATTCAAATTATTTCTTGTTCTAATATAGTTCTCATGTTTAAGCATCTATTAAGATGCCAGTTTTGCTCATGACAATTTGAAACGGAACGGTGTAAATGATCCTTTATAACACCATATTGTTCATTAATTTTTACCAGAAATTAGTTTGAAATGCACCTGCTTGCTATTCTTGGCTTGTGTTCAATTGGAAAATATTTACAAAGTAGGATGAGGTTTTAAAATTTATCATGAATTCTTTAACAGAGACAAACTATAAACTTAGATGTTTTGAGTTCAAATTTTGACAATCTCTTAGAGTCAAACTATGAAAAATTTATCCCTCTCTTACTCCTGGAATGGATGACTTGTTTTTGAATAAACACACCTGACTATTAAACTAAAAAAAACGTGTCTTTGGGAGCACTGCCCCTAGCTGGTTTATTGGGTCGCACATATCTTTTTATAATAATGGAAACTTTGTATGTTGGATACGACCTCTCTAAATAATATATTTCAAGTTGATTTTGTTACAAAGTAGATAAATGAATTTCAAAAAAAAAATAACAAGAACAATAACAGGCTTCAACCCGAATAAATATCTCAGCACTAGTCATATATATACCACATTACAGCTTACATATTGACAAAAGAATCAGATTACACTCTCAGCATCTCACTGAGAACAATTTACAACACCCGGCTTCGCTTGGCGCATACCGAAGCAGCTTCCAAGTCCCCAGTGAAGAAAAGGATTCGGTCCAGAATCCCCATGCAAGGTTCCTCTTCTTCCAAAGGTCCTGCAAGGCCTTTTCCCGAGCTAACTAAACTGCTACTATTTCCTTTCTCTAGCTGTCTTCTTGAACCCAAATATCGTTAAATTTCACCTTGATGGACAAGGTAGTACTCATTTCCTTCCCTTACTATCTTCAGCCCCCTGGAGTCACAAGGCTAGTTCTTTTTATTGGACAAATGATTTCTATTGAGAACACAATTTCTAAGTGACAAAAAAAAAAAACTTCTCCTCCTACTAAGCATGGTATAAGCCTGAAAGATTCAACGTTTGAGCCCCAGCAAGGGCCATGGGGTAGGTCGGGTTAGTGGGAGGGAAAAGGTTTATTCCCAATTGTCTTCTCTGTTTCATTGGACCATAAAAAGATGCAAAACTTGGAAATGAAAAATAGCTGCAAATGGATTCACTTACAATCCAATTCGATCACAACGATCTTGTACTGCATACACTTCTTTCCATGACTTCGAATCTATGGGGGCATAAAATGTGGCACGATCTATGCCCCATCTTTCTTCAAATAAGTTAAACCATAAATTGCTGTCAGAGGCCAAGATTTTCCACTTCCTGCACACTTTGACAAACAGCACAACTGACATGTTCATCATTAAGGCAATAATGCACAAAGGTAAGCAAAAGGGGAAAGATGTGGATCCATTAAGTTAAAGAGTATAATTTAAACCGACACATGCTTTTGGAGAATAAACATTATAAGAGAAACTAGGGGAAGGAGCCAATACAAATGTGCAATCAGATTTAGATTCAAGAGCTTGAAGGTCAAAATAGTTGGAGAAATGACATTGATACATTTTGAAATAGCAGTATGAACCTATTTTTTCATAATTGGCCAAAACAAGATATATTGAGGAAAAACCTTAGATAATTATCTGCTGCTTGTGCTCTACTAGGGAGTTAACTATCAAAGAAGAAACCAACCCCTCTTGAAGAAAGCTAATGAGATTTCAAAAAGATTTCAGATTTGATCTACTTGGACAAGTGCTAGCCTAGGGTTTCCAACACACACACGACCTTGAAAAACGCAAGCAAATAAACAAAAATATGGACAACTGAATACAACTAGTACATAAACTAACTAAAATAATGACAATGCTCTGTACAAAACCTAAAAACACAACCTTTGCTTACAAACTGATGTGGCGATATGACCATTGCCACACAAAAGCTAATATTAACTTTTATTCTCATGTCGTCAAACTTCAGCCCCTTCCTCTTTCTTCCATACTCCCTTCTCCAATCATACACCAGCATGGTCACTCATTCCATATCCACCATCAAAACGCAATCAATACACAAACAACGAATTTTGTCAAAAGAGTTCGTTTACCAAAGGCCTTACATAACATGGTTTAGTAGAATGTTGACACTGTTGTAATGAAGATACAAGCAATATTCATCTCAATTTCTCATTGGAACAAAACAAATGACCAGCATTAATGAGAAATCTTGGTTTAAAAATAGGCAGAATCTAAGACCAACAGATTAAAACAGTTTGGGTTGTGCCACATAACAGCTCAATCTTTTTAAAATCTAGCAAAATTTATGGACGTCTCGTCGTAACAAATTCAGAAAGAAGGTCAATAAACACACCCAATCCTGATCTCCAAATATTTTTCTTGAAGATAATGGAGAAAAGACGTGATATCAACCAGTTTTACAACTCGGCCAAATTCATATAATTGTGATGATATCAATTTGGGCCACAACACATTGATCTAGCATCTCAAGCTCTTACCTTTTTTAAACCCAAATTTAAATTTGGGTAAAAAAAATCCCCAAAAACATTCTCCAATTTTATACTCAAACTCATATAAAATTAAGCGAGAATCAAATATTTACTCAAATTAAGGGAGACCCAAATCACAAATGGCCAGATTTCATTCTCCTTCCAAGATCCAATGATCATATTTCACCATCATTTAAATTTGAGTTTACCCTCCTTGAAATTTGAATTTGTCCTTTAGACCCCTTTGTACCAAATCAAATATTTTACTCAAATGTTAATTGAGTAAAAATTTAAGTCAATCTTAGAGATGCTATAAGCTAAGAGGTTAGATTTTGTTTCGATTTCATGCAGAATTTAATTTTCCTCATTTTTGTGTTAATCCAGAATTGAGATTTAGTCAAGTTTATAAAGGAATCAACAAAAAAAAAACATCTTACAAAATAATTTACAACACAACACCCCATACAAAAAGGCAATTTCACTAATCATGTATCAGTACCACAATCAAAATGAATGAACACATAACCATTACAAGCAAAGTTGCATAATTGAAGGAGAATTCAACAAACCCAGTTCGGATCTTATAATGAATTGAATATCTCACCATACAAAATACAAAATTCTCAAATCTAACATTGAGAATATATATAATTGGATGGTGTTCTATGAATAATGATACTACTGACCTTGTTGAACAGCTACAAGATTCTGGTGATCCAACAAATGGAAAATTTTCAGACAAAGATCC